ACCTGGCTCCTCAGTCGTACTCCTCCCCGCTCTTCCGAAAGATCACACGCCGTTTAATAAAAATTCATGAGAGGCAAAACAGGTTTTGGAGAAAATACGCGGCGCCAGGTAACGTCCACCACTGTAGATTCAGCGAGTTGTTCCTGCCACCTGCCGGCTACCTTCCCTCGCAAGGGGAAAGTACGTTCTCTCTTCTCTCTCTCTCGAGCTGCTCAGCACCCACTTTAAATCCAGCAGGCTCCAGAATTCAGCAAGCACGGTCTTAAGCTGAGTTGCATCAATAACCCCTTCTGCCTGCATCAGTTCAGACATCCTCTTTCTTGAGGCTTTTTAAAAATCTACTGCCATCTTTATGGACAAACCTCTAGCAATTATGCTTACAAAGAAAGTGCCTACTAGGCTTCAGTTACGCCTTTTTAAAATGGCCTTTTCAATATATAATGGCCTTGCAACCAAAGGAAGCTGCTGGAGTCACCACAGCCACTCTTCTGTGTTTGCAGTCATTGCAGACTTGTGGCATTTCCTCACGTCCAAACTAGATTTATCACGCGCTCAGCTGCACCTCCCAGTCCGCCTTCTATTGCTATCCTCCCATCTTAGCTTCTGCAAACTCCGTCCACTGCCTCCAGCTCTCACGTCGTTCCTGGCTTTAAATAAAAGCACATCCAGGGAAAGGATTTCTTCCCTCGTGCTGTCCAAACAAGATTCTGTGTTAAAACCAAAATCTGAAAGAAGTTCCTCCCAAGATCTCCAGGTTTTGGTTTCTTTTTAGATTTACTAAAGTCTTGAAATATCTACCGATCTAGTTTCCTTGAGTCTCAGATTCTGTTCTCTTTGTCAGGCTGATCCACACCTATTACAAGGTTAATGCTGTCCTACTGAGCTACACGCTGAAGCACTTGCAAGAGGTACAACCTTTCAGGCAACCTCATCTATTAAATAACCACTCGAGCCTCATTCGTTCAGGAACGAAAGACACGTGTATGCGTGTGTGGTACGTGCGTGTATGTATCTATACACAGGTGTGAATATAAGCCAAGGACACCAAAGCTGGGTGCAGTTCCCTCCTCAGCCACCAGGACAACTGCATTCCCAACAGAACTGACGTGTTAAGAACTGAAACCGTGACAAGTAGATAAAAACAGCATTTATCGCTTGGAAGATCAGATCAGAGGCAATCCAAAACAACCCATGAAGCGTAACCGTACAGCAGTGACTTTCTTTTTCCGGTTCCCTGGTGGTTATTTAAACTTAGGCGCGAAGACACACCTTTAAGCGTTCAGAATTTTATACAAATTTCAACATTCATGTCCCCACAGGCTGGTACCAAACACACACGCATGCAGT